CAGGCTTGATTTTTATTACACGATGTTATTTATCGTTAAACATAGATTAAGCAAATATGTATTTCAATAAAAAAATTGGTACCCGTCTGTAGGATGTAAACACTTGCATGTTCGCATCGCTATAAACGAGTGAGTATACGAAATTCTTATTCTTTAGAGGATGACAACTTCAAATCCACTGCTAAATATATTAGTTACCAAACTTGATATGCGTAGATATTGTACAAGGTCAAGAATCTATCCAAGAATAAATCGAGGAGTGAAAGACGATTTGGTTTAAAAGGCAGTTTCGCACCTTTACAGGAGAGCCATTTAAAGTTTAAAATTAGGAAGAAAAAAAAACAAAAAAAAACATGTGGCACTCGGGAACTGCCGCGGTAAAGCTATTGCATAGCATCTTTTATCAACTTATGCAATTACAATTAGACAACGATAATTTAATATTAAAACAATAATAAAACAAGACCACGCTATATTAAACATTAATAAAAGCAAAACCTTAACTGTCCCCTTCACACTCACAAGCTAGACCGCGCAAGAGAAAGGGCAGACTTTTCATGATGCGCATGCAGTGTGACGTCACGCCACGCGCTTATTCACAAACACTACACAAGCGCAACGTGTGAATGTGTTGAACGCGAGCTACATGGTAGGCGGAGTGAGGGGAGTAAATTTTTTTTCGTTACGGAATTTCATGATTCGGTCGCCGCGCTCAAGGCCCGCGATAAAAGCTATGCAATAGCTTAAAAATACCAATGCTAATACCAAACAAAACGCACCTTTAATTACAAAGATAAATGTCGCGTATTAAGCGAAATATGTCGTTGTTACTTGTATCGTATTAGTATTAACTTGACTACACCCTGTTACTTACAATTGCTGTGTAAACAATATCACTTTTCTTTGGTTTTGTCTCCATCGATCTTTTCAGCAATTGACTGTCAATGAAAGAGATAGAACACGAAACGAGTATTCCTTAAATGAAAATTGCATAAACAAACGTACGTACAATACATACGTAACGCTATAGATGTTGCGTGCTGCATCGTGAAAGTGCAATGTATTTCGAATGTAATCAACTAACTGTAATTGATTTAAGCAAAATCATTTCCTTTGTTTCACGATGTTGTTTTTGTTCGCACGTTGTTTTATCCCCGTCTTCGATCTTAGCTAAGCCTTATTCATTGACAACTTAAAAAAAAACTGCAAAGATAAAGTTGAAAATACCCAGAATACATAGCTCTAGCGCAGTCTGGAAGGTTCGATTAAATTCCGTTGCAGAGAACGCAACTATTCATAAATTAGATAATGGCAATTTTTTAATGACAGATTTTCAATGTTTTCTTGTTTAGTGTGTAGTACAATCTAGTGTTGTGATGACCGCCACCGACGCCTGAAGTGATGACCACGACCACTCTGTCAAGAGTGATACCGTAAAGAAGAACATAACCTAAATACGGCCCGCTTAATACAGAAACTACAGGCGAGCATTGTCTTTAAAAAATAGTATTCGTTGGTTTTTGTTCCCTACCTATGCTGACAGCCTTGAGAGGCTATTCCAGCTTCACCCTAGCGTGTAGGTGAGCTCACGGGGCTCGAACCGGAAGTGTTGCTAACACTGGCCCTAGCAAGAGCAGAGAATCTACCGCCGGATCGGAAACGCGACCCACTGAGAAGATCCGGAGAAGATCAGTGGGTTGTGTCTATGGGTTAATTTACTCGTCGAGCTCATCGTCGCAAGCAACGGGTTCGGCGAGGACGGTGACCGGTGCTTGAGGTACCTAAAAGTACCGTTAGTGGACGGGAAGATCCGTAATGACGCGTTTAGGGCAACGTCGACTGTTTACCATTCGGTCCACAGGATCGGGTATGAATATTCTTTGTATCACCCATGCTCGTATAAATTTAAGTCAGTAACAATGAAATGTTAATTTAACAAGAAGTATGAACTTATTACGTGAATTAGAGGAACTAAAATTTGTACCCAACGCAAAGAAAGAAATTTACATGTAGCTTTATAATCACCACGTTTTATCTATAAATAGGTGCATTGATTTCTAAGTCCCTTACCGTAGACAATGAAACATGAATTTCTATTCTAAAATACTCTCTTGACTAAGCCTTTCGTTTGTTTAGGATTGAGATCATCCTATACAAAAATATTATTGTTGATATTATTGCTTTCTTGTGCTCGTAAGTGTGTTATAGTCCTATTGTTCACACGTCAGTAACGAATCTTAACCGACGACATTACTGAGTGCATTATCATAAAATATGTACCTGTGATAGTGAGAATAATTTTTCGTTTTAAAAAATAAACTGTCAGTCATCAGACTAATATTACAGACTTGTCGGAAATCTGTTTACAATACTTCAGATTTCGATATGATTTTAATCGATTCATACGGTTAATCGATTTTGTTACATCGAGTAATTTATTTTTCGTCGTATTTCAAAATGCCCGGTGGCGGTAATCTGATAAGCCATGAAATATACAGAAAAAAACCCCGGACCCCGCGAACTGGAAACGCGCGGTATACTATCAAATCCTTAGTGCTAGAACCACACAGAAAGCAAAAAAAATATACACGTCAAATGAGGTGAGAAAATAATGGATAAGTAGTGAATAATTAATCCCCAAAAATATTGTGCAACATTGAGTTGTTTTTTTTTTGCGATACTCATTTTTTGTAAAGAAAATTGTGAGAGATTGACGAAATATATCCCCTTGAACTGTTAGTTAACATAGCATAACAAGGCTCTCTTCCTGGAAAATCTCTCCATTCCAAAAACGGGAACTTCGCCTTCAAGAGTATGCAGGGGCTTGGCCGTATGCTCGTATACCTATTAAGGCAATAAAAAGAACAATAATGATGTATTGTAGACAAAAGGTGGAACTCAAATTTTTCGACTTCTTGTGTGTCTCCAGCTACACTTGTCACAGCTATATTAAATACTCACTCGGTACTTTTGATGGGAATATCGTATTTCTACGTTACTTAGGGATAATTAAAAGGGATAAAGTTATATTTTAATTGTGGCGGGTAGCAATCATACAACGCAAGATATTTGACAGATGCCTGAATCTCGCTTACGACATTTTGAAGATAAGCAACATTCGGACCGTCCGCGTCGCGTCGGTCTACCGAGCAAATATCACCCGCTCGGTGGAAGATCTTTCCATTCGTCGTAAACCTACCAACTATTATTAAATAACGTAATATTAAAAACCAGTTGAATAAGCATAGGTATATAATATTCGTCAAAATCGTATTGTTGTTCATATCAGTTGAATAGAAAAATCGTGATCCAGCGATGTCACGCGAGCCTGTCGAAACGTTTTCGATTTTTCAGAGAGTTACGTAACATTCGAGATGCCTAGCTTTTGTCAGCACGACAACAACGCGGTTACAATGTACTATACCGAGACCTTAGAACTGATATCTCAAAGTGGGTGGCGCATTTACGTCGAAGATGTCTATGGCCTCCAGTAAACACTTAACACCAGGTGGGCTGTGAGATCGTCCACCCTTCTAAGCAAAAAAACAACAACTATGATATACATTGTTAGTGACATATTTGACGTTTCATCATCATCATCATCTCAGCCTATAGCTGTCCACTGTTGAACATAGGCGTCTCCAATCGATCTCCAGTGTCTCATCGTTCCATCTGATAGGCGGACGTCCCACACTGTACTTGCCAGTACGTGGTCTCCATTCAAGGATCTTTCTGACCCATCGGCCTTCCGACCTTCACGCTATGTGGCCTGCCTGCTGCCACTTCAGCTTGCTAATCCTATATTTGCATGTAAAACAATTGTTTCTCTTCCAATGCAGCGTAACTATAGTACTCAAAACAAAAGATAAATGAGGAGCAATGACACAAAGACTAAACTTCTTAATCTTTGATATTTAACCATCAAATTTACCATAAGCCATTACGCGTCTTATTTTTCTACAGAAACAAAATGTTAAGCTGTCTTTTTAAGCATTACATATGATCAAACGAGCAAAAACATTCATTGAAAATTGATGGATATATCTCATAGTTTTTTGTTCGACTTGGCAGATAGGTACAAGTATTTTTATTGTTAGCGGATACAGCGAAACCGATATGCCACATTACCTGTGTCTCGATTTTATTTGAAAACATTGACATCTTTGAATATTTAAAAGAAACTATTGAAATTACAACAACAAGAGAACATAGCTCTTTACGTCCGTGAGATTTCATGATATTTAAAAGTTAAGAAACAATAACATTATGAAAATTTCACAACAAAAAGACAGAGAACACGCGCCAGGCATAGTTGGTTAAGCTATAAGATTAGTATAATGATCTTACACATCACGTATATTTAACATCCATATCCGTCTCGCTTAGCATACCGATGAATACGAGTCAACGGAAGGAGTCGCCGGAGGCCTATCTTAAAAGACACGATAAAATAACAAAAGCAGAAAATAGTAGCTAAATGTAAAAAATGTTTTTCTAAATTCATTTTTTTGGATGCAAAAATAGGCTTTAAGCAAAAATATATTTAAAACTAGCTGACCCGGCAGACTTCGTTGTGCCTTAATCGATAAATAAAAGACCTAAGCTATTGTACAAAATAAACTTAAAGCAAACAAAAGGAATCTGTGCGACGGAGGACACATCAAAGGAAAAACAAAATTGTTATTTTTATTTAATTCCGAGCATTTTCATATGTATATCTTCTACCTTTTTGACCCTTCTCTGGACTTCCACAAATAATTTAAGACCAAAATTAGCCAAATCGGTCCAGCCGTTCTCGAGTTTTAGCGAGACTAACGAACAGCAATTCTTTTTTATATATATTTATTATAAAATAATATATTTGTCGACCGTGAAGATTCATTCAAATTTTGCCGAATCCTTAACACTGCTGCTTTCAATTCTATTTTAGGCTTTACAAAGTATTCACTTTTGCGTTGATTTCGTTACTTATTTACATGTTGAACTGTTTCTTATTTCAGATGCCTATCCGCTCCAAAAGTGATGGATAGCCACAGCAGATCGGCGTCGCCTCGCGACAGGCCGCAGCAGAGGCCGCCTTCGCCGCCCTCCCCACACGGCTACGACAACAAAGTCTTCCAGCACGACGAATCCGACCCAAACCACAACGACTCCTTCGCGTCCAACGGCGCGCAACAGAACCAACTCAACGGAGACACAAAAACATTAGAGGCCGTCAATTTAGAATTGTTGAATTTAGCACCGAAGAATGGTAATGCGAAAAAGAAGGATGTGGAGATAGATATGAACGGCACGAACCCGTACGACGAATACTTCGTGCCCGTCAACGAACACAGGAAGTTTATGAGGTTTGTAGTACTTTAAATACATTAACGATCTTGTAGGTAATCTAGAGGGACAAAGAGAGACGGTATGCTTGATAGTGCACCAATATAAAATAAACACAAAGGCAAACCATTGAACACAAAAGTACAAAAGGCAGTCTTATCGTTAAGAGAGATATTTTCCAGACATGTATCAGATAGACAAGAATCATCGAAGGAAATAAATTAGCTGCCGCGTACTTATCAATTGAAAAAAGTATATATACATGTGCATCAATAACATAATGATAATGCTACTTTACACATATAAAAAACGCCCTAGACACGTCCTTACGGATCCATCAGATCCAATAACCTTTGCATTAGATGCCTTCAGCTCTAATACTAGGGGCAGGCTTAGGGACCCCGGTAACCGTACTCGTCGAACTCGACAAAGAGGTCGACGTGCAACCTAACCCATGCATCAGCCCGCTGAGTTTCTCGCCGGATCTTCTCAGCGGGTCGCGATTCCGATCCGGTAGTAGATTCATTCGCGAAGCAATTGCTCTTGAGTTGTTAGGTCTCCTTCGGAGGCGCTCGGGCAGTTGTTAGCAAATTCCGCCCCTCTTGGCTGAGCCTTTGCTCGCCCACCTGTCCTGGTGAAACTGGAAAGGCCTTCGGGCCACCAGTAAACTTTCAATCATAAAAAAAAAAAAAAAAAAACATAAAAAAAACAATAACGTTTCATTTTTCTCAAAAATCAGCGCGTACCGAACGCAAAAGCATAAAGCTTACCGATTCAAGTAAATAATTCGCATTTGATAGTTACCTAATACGCGTGATAGCTGATTGCGTTTATTTACTTTTCTAGCGTCATTTTAATGAAATCAAGATTTCGTGTGTGGCAGTCGTTGGTAAACACTTTTTTCAGACAAATTAGTATCTGCACTGGATATATACATTGGACGTCTTATTCATAAAGTCTGTCCACTTCACTTTGTGCTTTTCATATCAAAAATCACCCGTGCTCACTGACTCAATTTAAAAACAAAAAAAGAACATTAAAAATAATGCGCCCAATATATTTTTTATAGTCTTAACGCGGATAATAAATTTTCAGATTGATAAACTGTTAACAAACTCTGCATATTTCAAATAAATGTGCTCCATCACTATTAGCGATAGATGTAATGCAAACAACGGCTGATTGTTACTTCGTATTGATTCGACGCACATACGTTATAGAACATGTATGAATATGTAGACTCAACTTAATGCTGAACTATATATCTATTTAATTTACGCAATCAATCATACTTAATTTCATTAATCATGGTTCACAAGTCATCATCATTCTCCTGCCCTTTTCCCAGTCACCTGATGTCGGCGCAACATGTTTTCTCCTTCCATACTCCTCTATCATATACCATTTATTCGCTCACTCCCCTTTTACCCATACCGTCTTTCTCGCAATCCATCCAGTTCTTCTTAGGTCTACCTCTTCCTCTATATTCTTCCACATTCATATTCATCATTAAGACTCTCTAACCAACCTCATTTTCATTTCGTCTCATCACATGTCCATACCATCCCAAACGCGCACTTCTCAACTTCTCTGTCACAGATGCCACTTTCAGACTTCCTCTAACATATTCATCAATCATGGTTCACAAGTCCCTGTTTGCAAATGAAATAGAAATAGGCACCGTGAATCCGAGTTAATAGCAAAAGTTTGGTCCCTTTTTACTTTTTTATAAACCACAAATGTTGCTCCTAATGATATTATGTTATTAATTGATACCGAAAAGCTAAACCAGAACATATGATAGTGACTATGTAACTGAATTCACACGAATCCTTTTGAAGGCAATTTTTTTAGAAAAATCCTCTACCTTTTATTGGTATACAAGATTTTATCTTAATTGATGTAAAAGTTATAGTCATGACGTACCAAGAAAATTATAAAAAACGTCAAAAAGTACCCACTTTTCGATTTGGTCTTGGTGTTTTAATAGTTTTTTTTATTTTTTTATTATAGATTTCCGAATTACTTTACCCAATCTATTGCTTTGTTTCCCCAATAAAAACATAATTCTCGTAGAATTGAAAGCAGTAAAGCAACATACGCTGGTTATCGCTACTTCTGATACATACATTAACTGCACATTGAAATAACTATATATATATTTAATTCGTCTTCTGTCGAATCACTAGTCTCGTGACGACGACAAACAAAGTGATAGCTGAACAATTTTTTAGACAAGATCAAACCGAAGCGAACAGCAACTCAATTCGTGACGAGGAATAGTATATTATCATTCAGTTAGATTGAAATCGGACAAAATTAAATACAACGCGTGTTAGGAGTTAATACTTTCGTCATATTTGTATCATGAAGGATCGAAAGTTCATTGAACATTAAATTAATAAAAAAAAGCCTTTAAAAGGACTCTCTTGAAAACACACACAATTTAATCCCGGGCGGTTTAATTGGATATAGAACCACTATTATAAAAACCATTGAGGGTGCAAAACAAAAACGAACTTTCGACCAGCTTGATAAAAAGTTTCTATATTGTACATTTTTATTGAAACAAACTGACTAATTTCAAACACTTAGAACATAATCAACACGATATATATTTAACTAATCCGCACCATGACAAAGCAATCGGTCACAGGCCCGTATTTCCGCATCGCTAATACCCGTTCTCGTTATGTCCTTGAGACAAACTTTGACTGTGAAATCGAAATATCGTTTGTCGTTTAAACTCCATGAAACTTCAGCCACAATACTTGGATTCGCTTCACAGAATTCGAGACAAAGTTTCCATTAAATATAATGCGGTAGCACGTAGGAAAGGAATTGAAGAATAATACTATCTAGAGGTCCCGCAGTAGTCGAAATTCGACTATAATTAATTGGAATTGTAAGTATGTACACTATTATGATTGTATTTTATACTTCTATAATCACAAATTTCGCCAAGACTACACTATAAAAATATTAATATAGACAAACAATATTTAATATATTATTAATTTGATCACAGACGCTAAGAACAAAAGTTTGACAATAAATAGTGTGCATGCATGTGTGCGTCCCATACATGGTATGTAGTGTGTGTAATGTCTTCTTTATTGATTTAATGTATCTTTTATGCATTATTTTTAAAAAAAATTAGCATTGTGCACTTCTTCTCTATATTCTCTATAAGTGTGGAAAATAAAAGGGATACAAAGTTTTTGCTTCACGTATTAATATATAGATTTGTGACACTAGGGTTATTATCACCTATTTCCTTACTTAGCTCCCCAATTTCTATTGCAGTGGTAGCCAACACCGTCCTAATAGATATTTCAAGATATTTGCTACACACGAACGCGATTGTTTTTTTTTATTTGCTTACATTAATCGACATACTTTACACAAGTTTTCGGTACAACCCAACCTAACTGTCGCAAGCCTTCTTGCAGTCGCAATTGTACGCTGTCATATCTGTTTACGTCCAAGAACAACAGAAGAAGAGAGTTATCGAGAGTCGACCGTTCTCGAGAGATCGATATAGAGTGGGGGCTAATTTATTAGCTTATCTATGCTAATATCGTTCAAACTATTCGATAAACACGAGTTTCACCTATTATCTTTAATAACTTCGTGAACATGAAACTGAAGGGTAATCATTACAAATACCAGCTATTAATTAATTTAATGATCATTACAACGAACGTTTTCACATCCGACGTGAACTGCTATTTCACGCGTTTTCATGGTTACTGTTATTTAGAAATTGCATAAGTTCTTGTTCCGCTGACTTTTATAAGGGCAGAACCGAAATAATGTGTAATTCGATTAGATTAATCAGTTTTACTGTTATCGAAAGAAGAGGATCCCAGCTGTCGGAAATTGACAGAACAAAACATAGTGATGCTCCTCTATGGTTTCTCTTGGTACTTGATGTTTAATCGTTTTTCAGCCAGTCACGATTAACGATTGTAAGATCTCGATTTGCGACGCGAGCCGATAGGTCGATGATCGCGAATTAGAAACGTTTAAAAAAACGAACTTGCATCACAACGATCGTCCTACGAGTCGGTTGACTCTGAATAATCGATAAAGAACTCGATTGTTGAGTTGGAACGTTTACTCATTCCCGGAATCGTAAATTAATCGTTTTCTTAGAAATTATTCTATCTACATACATTATTCAGTCAATCGATGAACAAAGAGTCCAATATCTGTAGCGAAAGATCGATACAAAAACATTTTGAATATTTTTAAACTTAACTGCCAAATTCCTACTATAAGTCGTAAAGTATAGCCCCCCACCTGTCCACCTATAAATCACATATACAACCTTGTTGTCCTTGACCTTGAATAGCTCGCATAATACATTTAAATTTGGTATCGGTTTTATGTACGACACATTCTGTTAGACCGCCGTTGAATTAGAAATTAGCGCCACATACCAATAAAATGCTCACCGTGTAAACTTCACATTATGTCATCGACATTATGATTAAACCTACGAATATTATTCGTAGAATTAAACAAACTGTGTCTGAAGTTAGGTATCGGCATCATTCTATGAGTTGATACCAAAATGGATCGGGAGGTCATCTGCCTCATATAAGTCAAAGAAACATAATTACTGGTAGAATAGGTGGACAATATACCATCACCACGATCTAGCCTATTTTTACCACGAAGGAGTCGTGCTTTCCAGCTTGGAGTTTGGGACAACTTACTTAATTCCAATAAACTAGAAAAAATGGCAGGGATTGACGAGTAAAGTTAAAAATAAACTCAAGAAGCTATTTTCATTCTAGAACAAGTTAGCGGATCTAATCATGCGACATGTGACTCCGCACGGGTAGGTACCACCACCCTGCCTATGTCTGCCGTAAAGCAGTAATGTGTTTCGGTTTGAAGGGCGGGGCAGCCGTTGTAACTATACTTGAGACCTTAGAACTTATATCTCAAGGTGGGTGGCGCATTTACGTCGTAGATGTCTATGGGCTCCAGTAACCACTTAACACCAGGT